ACTTGCTGAGTCAGAATTTCCTAGGAATAAGTAAATTTAATAGGAATTCACATGCAGCTGATGAGCAAAACTGCAGTTGGACATGACATCACTCAGTACCCACTCCGTGAAGTCTTAGGGGAAAAGATTATTTTAGAATTTTGAGGGGGAAAAAAAAATTGCCTTCCCTAAGAGCTGCTTCCTCTTTTTTGATTATAATATTTATGTAACTTGGTCTGTTGCTTTTATTGTTTTTCCTCTCTATCTGAAACAAATGAAAGTAATCACTCAATGTATCCTTATGTTTAACCTGCGTGCATTCTCCCGTCATCCCTGTTACTCATTCTCGCGAGATATATATGTGTGTGTGTGTGTGTGTGTGTGTGTGTGTGTGTGTGTGTGTGTTGCATTTTTGTTTGTGTTGTTATTGCTGAGTTCCTTAAATATGTATTCGAGTTGATTTCATTATCAATCATTTCATATTCTAAAGTGCAAAGGTATAAAAATCTGAAAAGGTATGAAAAATCTTCTTAACTCTTAAGCCTACTCTAGCTGGTAATTGTCTCCCTCTGGCTTGTGTTTCTAAGGACACACCTACATGTCTCCAGAATAATTCAGGAGAAGCCAAATCCTGCTTTTCCAGTTCTCCTGCTTCACATGTCCTTCAGGACAGAAGCTTCAAAGCACCTCCCAGCAAGTTCTCAGGATTCAAACCCTGGCTTCAACCACATAGAGCTTATTATGAACATCCTGACTGTGATTTTGCTTCTAGAAGTCAGACTAATGTGTTCTATTTGAAGTGACACATCCCAATTCATTGAGAAGATTTTTGTTAGTGGCACTAATTTTTCCTCAGCATGTTTCAAGTTTCTGATGCTGCAAGAAAATATTAAATAGATAATTATTATTAGCCAGGATAACCAAAGAATGGTTCAAACTAAGGAAACTAAAGCCTGCATAAACTAACAAGTCCAAAGTAACAGAAACAGTGAGGATTTTTAACATGACTCCAAAGACAAAAGCTCTTAACCCCTAAACATGTATGAAGTTTCAGAGTTATAAGTTTCATACATCCTTTTTAGAAAATCTTCCAAAAGCATCTGAGCCCAGTGTCCTGGGATAGTAAACAAAAAACTGACCTTCTAAAAATTTAACAAGGTTATTACTGTTCCACAGGGGCTTCATTATTCTCTTAGACTAGCAGAGTGTTGGGGGTGGAAGAGTCCTCGAAAAGTCTCGTGCAGCCCTGTCATTGGTTCTAGCACCTAATACAGAGGTGGGTCCTCGGCAGCCATCGCTGTGGGGCTTGTCAATTAGTCACAGAGGATCGTACCATTATAAAACCTGACACAGCGGAGCCAGAAAGATTCTCCCAGGATTACTTAATATTAACAGCAAGACAACACTGAAATCAGAGCATGATGACAATTACAGCAGCACCCTAGTCTGAAATTTTAAAAATCTGGGGCCGGCCGAGTGGCTCAGTTGGTTAAGAGCTCGCGCAAGGGTGCGAGCTCTGAGCAACAGTGGTTCGATGCCCGGCCCGAGCTGAGTTGCCGCTGAGCTGCCAACAGGCAGCAGGATGGCTCAGCTAAAAAAAAAAAAATCTATATGCTCTGCTACTGATTTCCCAGTCAGTAGATGAAATATAGTCCTGAGTCCTGTCCTTCCTATTTTTACTCAGCCAGGGCAGGCTTTCATGAAACGCAACGATCCTTTAATAATATAAATGGCTAAACAAAGAGTGAACACCTACTAAATACTGAAAAATACATATTACTTTCTACAACGAATTCAGAAGAACCACTCTCTGCGTTTTCCAGAGACTGTGCCAATCTCTTTTTCCCCAGATGTACTGAGTGATAACTGACATGTAACCGTAAGTTTAAGGTATAAACATGATGATTTGACACATATATATATATTGCAAAATGATTACCACAGAAAGGTTAGTTACACCATCCATCACTCATATAGTTGCTTTTTTTTTTTTGGTAGTGAGAACTTTTAAGATGGAATCTTAGCAACTTTCAAGTATACAATACAATATTGTTAACCATAGTCACCAGGATGTATTGTACATTAGACCCCCAGAATATACTTATCTTATAACTGGAAGTTTGTCCTCTTTGACCACCTTAACCTATTGTCCCCACCACCTCTCTGTCCTTGGCAACCAATCACCAATCTGCTGTGTTTCTATGAGTTCCATTCTTGTTTAGACTTCACTTAAAAGTGTGATCATGCAGTATTTGTCTTTCTCTGTCTAACTTATTTCACTTAGCATAACACTCTCAAGGTTCATCCATATTGTTGCAAATGACACGCGTTTCTTCTTTTTTTTTTTTAAATTGGGGAATTGGAGGAGGGGAGCAGTGTTGGGGAATTGGTGAGGGGGACCAGCCAAGCTGTTGTTTTTCAATCTTAGTTGTGGAGGGCGCCAGTCACCCTCTGGCTGCCCGTCAGCAGCTCGTGGCCTCTAAGCTCAAGGTGCTGAGTTCAGTCTTAGTTGTGGGTGGGCATAGTCACCATCCCATGTGGGAGTCAAACCGGCAGCCTTAGTTGTTAAGAATGCATGCTCTATCCACTGAGCCATCCGGGTGGCAGCTCAGCTCAAGGTGTCAAGTTCAGTCTTAGTTGTGAGTGGGTGTAGCCCACCATGGAACAGGCAATCTTGTTGTTACACCAGCTGAGCCATCCTGCCACCTGTTGGCAGCTCAGTAGCAGCTCATCTCAGGTGCAGCATCACTGGCCCCTGTGGGAATTGAACCGGCGGCCCTATTACTCAGAGCTCACACTCTTAAGCTAACTCTTAACCAACTGAGCCACTCGGCCAGGCCCTTCTTTTCTTTAAGCTGAATAATATTCCATTGTATGTATGAACCATGTTTTCTTTATCCATTCATCTGTTGAGGGACTTGGACACTTAGGTGCTTTCCATGTATTGGCTATTGCAAACAATGCTACAATGAACACAGGGGTGCAGATATCTCTTCAAAACATTTTTTTTTCCTTTGGGTATATACCGAGAAGTGGGGTTGCTGAATCATATGGAAGTTCTATTTTTAATTTTTTAAGGAACCTCCATACTGCTTTTCATAATGGCTATAGCAATTTACATTTCTACCAACAGTGCACAAGGGTTCCCGTTTTCTCACATCCTTGCCAGCACTTATCTTCCAGAACTGCTTCAGAAAGTGGCAAGAATGATGGAATAAGTGTGTTCGAAGCAAGGGGGAGTATTTTGAGGGGGATTAATGGCAATGTGCCTTTTATTACAATAATTTATTTTTATGTAGACATACACCATATTGTTTGATCGCACCTTGTACACTAAGTTTTTTCCTATACATACAAACCTATGATAAAGTTTAACTTATAAGTTGGACACAGTAAGAGAGTAGCAATGATTAATAATCAAATAGGACCATTATAACAATATACGTTAATAAAAGTTATATGAATGTTTTTGGGGCCATTATTTAGTAAAATAAGGGTGACTTGAACACAAGCACTGCGATATCACCATAGCTGATCCGATAACTGAGAGGGCTACCAAGCGGCTAACGAGTGGGTGTGTATACAGTGTGGATACGCTGGACAAAGGGGTGATTCACGTCCCGGGCGGGACAGAGCAAGTCAGTAGGATGACATAAGATTTCATCACACTACTCTGAATGGTGCAATTTAAAATTTATGAATTGTTTCTTTCTGGAATTTTGCGTTTGTTAATAGTATTTTGGACTGTGATTGGCCAGGGAGTAACTGAAACCATATGAAATGAAGCAAAACTGCAGATAAGCAGGGACTACTGCACACAGAATTGATTCAATAGATGGTAGAAGACCTAAAAAGTCCAATAGGTGATGGGGAGGCAACCTGGAAACTGGCAACAGGAGGGAGCCACTACCAACCTAAGCTGGAGAGAGAGGTGGTGGTACCAGAACCAGGAACCGGAGTCACCTGGCAAAAGCTGGCACCAACGCAGACCTACCCAGCAGGACCTCGAGGCTCAGATAGGGCACTGGCACTTCCAGAGACTTCTCCTAAATAGACAGGGAGAGGAGGCCACACTCTGGCTTTCCCTTTTCCTACCTCCTATCTCCTGCCTGGGCTTCCCGGGGGCAGAACACAGGCCAAATGCCAGCTGACCTGGGGACTCGAGAAAGGCAACCTGCAGGGGTCAGCTTCAAGCCTCCTCTTAACACACAACACAGGGCAGAGCAGGGGAAGGGTGGGGAATGGATCTGAGAGCAAACAGCTCCAAGGCTGGCACAAGAGCTGGACTGAAGACAGACTATGGCAGAAGTTCTAGGTGGGGAGAAATCTGATTTTTCATGAAGGCATAAAAGTGTTAGCAGCAAAGGGATTTAGCAATCTCTTCCGCATGGCTGGGGCTAGAACACTTGTGAAGAAAGGAGCACTGATGAGGCTAGACGTGGAAGCAAAGGCCTGATCGTGAAGGGCCTTGCATGCCATGCTAAGGAGCTTGAAATCTATTTTATAGGTAGTCGTATTTAACCCGAAGTCTGTCTTGGAAAGTGAGTTTTGGCATCGTTGCAGATGGTAGCACGGGGAAAAGGAAAGTACAGGTCAGAATCCATCTGCCAAAGGCTGATGTCGTACAGGCCAAACTTGATGAAAGGGTCTGTGAAGCTGTGGCGCGGCCCTACTGTAACGACCAACTTAATATTAATAAACTCACCTCCTGGTGATACTGACTCCACACTAATGAGGTTTGTAAGGCCCTAACCTTGTCAAACAACACTTTGAAAATTATTTTACATCTGGTTTTAAAATTTCTTTAGAAGTAGGGGAATGGGAGCATAAAACATCAGGAAACACTGTTGCCGAAGATGGAGATGTTTAACTTACAGGGAAAGGAATGATTATGTCTTATTGAAAGTGTGAGTTGTCTTTATAACAACAGGCTCTCTAGAGTTTATGACCCAGGGGAAAAGTTATCTATAATAGCCAGGGCCTCCTGAATAGAGCCCCCAGGAACGAAAACAGGACAAAGCGAAATCTATGTGTTGCTTTATTCCTTCTTTTCAGGGGCCACGGCATTTTAGGATGGACTGAGTTTCAGCCAGGGAGGAGGAGACGGTCCCCCTCCTTCCTCTGTCACTCCTGCTGTATCCTGCCGTCACACCAAATGTGATAGGGCCTCCTGAAAGGCAGAAGGACAGTAATAAAAACAAAAGCAGCTTACATGCAATTAGCAGAGTTCCAAACACAGTCACTCTCCTACTTAGCCACCATGGTACTGAAAGGAAAACCAAGTCTCAGAGTGGTTAAGTTCAATCCAGAATCACAGAGCTGGGACATGGCAAAGTCACACACAACACACAACTCTCCCGTGCAAACAGTCCTACTAGAAATCTACGCGTAAATATTGCACTTCCCTTGAGGTTCCTGGAGATGCCAACTTTACCTGAGGGCAGTCTGTAAGGGGGAAACACACGTTCACATGTGAGAATAGGGGGAGGAGGAAGTGGGGTGGGCAGGGTGAGCATTCAGGGTGACTAAGCCCTGCCCCTCGACCAGTCAGCCCCTCGACCAGCTGTGTGTAGTTACCAGCAGTTTCTTCACAGCCTCGGAGGCCTCTGGGCCCAGCTCATCCACACATTTCTTGAGCCCTGCCACAAGGTGCTCAACAGAAATGCCCAGAGATTTCAGAAGACGCTTTAATGGATCCAGGATGGACAGAATTTCCAGAGGTGAAGGTAAGACATCGCTGACAGGGTTTGGTACCCTGTTGATGAGGAAGGCAGTGGCTGTAGAGCAAACGAGAGGCAGGTGAGACAGGAACATTCAGCTCCTGTCTGGGAGCTCACCACCTTTCACTCTGTCCATCCGTGGCTTCATTCCAGCCTTACTCATCTTGATTTCCCAAGAAAACTTCTGCCTCAGGGCCTTTGCATCTGCTGCTCCATCTCCCTAGAGCTTTCTTTCCCCAGATAGGTGCAGGTCTTTCTTCCTGGCATTATTTGGCCTGTCCTCATGTGTTACATTCTCAGAGAGTGATCTAAAATGGCACCCCTGTCATCCTCTATCTGTATTTTTTTCTTACGACCACTAAAGTATTACATTTTTTGTGTGTGTGTGCCTCCATCCTCTCACCAGAATAGAGGATCCCTGAGAACAAGAGCGTTATGTTTTATTCACTACAGACCCTGGAACGTAGTAAGCACTCAAAAAATACTGGTGCTTGAACTGAATAGAGATGTATTTTGCATGTGGCTGTCTCCACAGCCCACAGGTTTGGAACCAAAGGGGAGATGCTACAATGTATCTATTTGGGGACATGAATGGACCCAACCCCAGCCCAGGAAAACTGCTCCAAACTAATTCAACTCAATGCTACAAAAATAATTGAGTGCCGACTCTATGCCAGTTGGTACAGCTACACAGGTGAAAGATAAGAATGTCCCATTCTGAGAACTCACACAGTCTGGTGGACTGTGAGAATCTGTGTGTCACGATGCAGCTTATGCTGTGCTGACATTATGGACAAAGCTCTATGGAAACACAAAAGAAGCGATGACTAATTGTAACATGAGAGAGTGCTGCCGAAATCTTCCCAGAAGCTAGAGGTGTGTGTGGTGGCAGGTCCCAGGATCATGAGGTAATGAAGGAAACAGCATTTATAAAAAGGACAAAGTTAACAAAGGCACTGAGATGTTGAGACAGAAGTGCATACAAAGGATGGTGCATCTTCCCAGGGTACCTGGGATGCAGGTTCCACAGGGGTGTGCAGAGGAGGCATACAGGTGAGGCTGCAAGACTCAGGTGACATCAGATTTTTAAAAGCCTTGAACGCCATACTAACAAGTTTGAGATTTTTTTCCCCCTGAGGGCAGTGGGGAGCTATCAAGGCTTTTATATGAGACAACTGCATTTTATATCGTCAGTTTTAGAAAGATAACTTTCACAAAGAAAAGGAACCAGAGCGAAAGTACAGAGAATGGAAAAATAGGTATGCCATATATTGTTATAAAACATGTGCAGATAGGTAAACACACATGTACATGATCTCACACATAAGACTGCATACCCTCCTGCTAGCTATAACCCTGACATGGTTCATTTTCTTTCGGAATCCTTTTTATTCCCCCACTCAAATTGTAAAAATGGAGCCTGTGCACCTGTCTTCCCTCCATCTTCTACCACCTATGTCCCCTCTTTCTCTTCCAGAGGGACGATATTTATTTCCCTCCCCTCATCTTTCAGTTGCCACCTCTGCCAACAGATATTTGTCCTTGAACACTAAAAACAACGAAATAGCTAAAACTGGTGAAGTTACAAATTTGTCAAACATTCAATTAAAACACAAGACAAAGTTGCCAGTGTAGGTGTGGGCAGCACCGAGTTTCTCATGATTAATCTCCCTACTTATTTTAAACACTTTGGTAAGTGTCTTTTCTGCATGTATGTATACAGAGGGTGCCAAAAAATGTATACACATTTTAAGAAAGGAAAACTATTAAAATTGTAATACTCGATACATACCAATAGCAAAAGATGAATACCAATCATGTTTAACTTCTGCAATTACAAGAGGTGCTCAAAGTGGTTATCATCGGCGTTCAGACATTTTTGATTATGGTGAACTACCGCTTGAGCAACATTGACAAAAGTGTCCACTTGTATACATTTTTTTTGGCACCTCCAGTGTATTTCTGGTGAAAGACCCTCAAAGCTCTCTGTTCTCTGAATGAGCAGTGGCCAATCACAATGCATTTTGATGGGAACTGACTCAAATATGTCTTCCTGATAGTTACAATAACTCCCTCCAAAAATAATGAGTCAATTTCCTTTCTCCTCCAGGAAGCCAGCTTCTGTACCGACCTAGAAAGGGAACTTTTCACCCCTCAGTATTCCCCCAGATCTGTATCTGTACATGATTGCACTGACTTCTGTAGAATCTTATCTCCCCTGCCAGGCTATAAGCACCTTGAGAACAATGTCTGTCTGATTCATGTCTGAATCTTCCAATGCTCGTCCAGTGCCCCGCAAGTGGTAGCTACTCAATACTCATTGAGTTTGTGAACAGATAAATATAGCTATGTCTCAGGGGAACCAACCTGCAACCTGACTGATTAAAGATGATAGCAAGAATGACTCCATGCAGTTTCAAAAGCATAAAGGAAGGAGTTGCAAGTCCGATTTGACTAAAGATTACAGAAGATAAAGAAAACTGTAGCGATGAATGTTCAACAATGAAATCTGCTTTGTTGACCCCCTGTGGGAACGGCTAACTTGTTATGTAGGAGGCACTAGGGGTGTTGGGTTGGGGCTTGGATTGAGGGCTGAGTGGGGTACATCTGAAATCCCTTCCAACCTTACCCTTCAGTGGTTCCACAACCCCTCTACCACATTCCCACGGGAGCCTAAGCTCCCTCGCTGTGTTTCTATTAACAGAAATGTAGAGAAACAGCCTATGTCCCAAGCTACTTACCAGAGTAACTGCAAATGCTGACGGTCACCAGCAGGAACACAGTGACCAACTTCATGACGAGTTATCTATGGTATTTACTTGGGCGTTTAAAGTTGAACTGGAAAACCCAATGGGTCCACGCGCCTACGCTCCACTTGCTGTACCAAGTGTGGCGGCTGCTTTTGCACACACACATATTTATACACCCACCGAGGACCTGACGTTCAGTGACCACCACTTGACTCGCCCCAGCGAAGAAGAGCGTGAAGATCATGTTTCCTCACTAAACACACTGGAGGCTTTTCTGCTTTGCCCCATGTTCCCACGAGAAACAAAGCCCAAACTTTGAGCATTCTCAAGGACCTCTTGCACAAGCCCTGCACAGAGACGCCAACGGGAGGCCAAGAGCGCTACGAGTCCTTCTCCTGGAGAGGCCCTGACAAGAGGGAAGATCTTATATTTGGATTCGAAGGAGTGACACTTCCGTTGTTTTCCTCCAGGTCTCTATTCATTTAAAGCTCAGAGAATCATATTACCTGATGAGCTACCCAGTTGTAGAAGCAATCTGGAGGTCCCATCAGCCATGGTATGAATATAATATGGACTCAGCTTAACGGCATTGAGTGCTGTATTTCTCTGGAATTTACCTCCACCCACCCCAGCCCCACTCACACATCTACTATGGCAGATGTACCTTTTCTAGTGCCTCCCAGTTATTTGGGGAAGCCCTGGAGTAACCCTTCTCTGTGTTCTCATATAGAATAATAGGCTCAGGATCTAAAATCAAAAATGCCTTTTTAAAAACCTGGGATTCAATATTTACTCTTGGATTAGGCTTTAAAACAAAAAAACAACTATAGTATTGGTCTCCTCACCTAAACATTAACAGCAGGACAGTCCCAAAGCTGTGCGATCTTGAGAGAAAAAAAACCAAAATTTTGCAAGACCCTCTCTGTATAAGCAATTTGAGTTGCCAGAATATGCATTTCAGAACCATTCTGGCAGTTTGATCCCTTGTAATCATGCAAAAGAAATACTGTGCCGGCCACAGGACAACCTGCTTTGAAGGTTGCCCTCCTGGAACCAGGACTCAGCCATGGGGACCCAGGATGACCCTATTTATAAACCAGAGTCCTGGAGTTCTTGGGGTATCTGGTGCCTAACATGAAAGGAAGAGGGGGGGAAAGAACCCAGAAGGAGAGAAATAGGGGTCAGGCCCAAGTGGGTCCCTGAGCCAGCTCAGGGCTCCGTGGCCAAATGGTACTGCTGGCCCCAGTCACCCCTGCCATCAAAGAGGGGACTCTGAACATTTTGAGGAAGAAATGCAAAGACGTGGGCCCCGTAAGGTGGCAGGCCAGGTGAGGTACTGTTAAGGGGATTTAACAGAATTATGTAGACGAAGGATATTACTGAACCTAACCAAGATTAACACTTAATGAGTGTCATCCATTATTCATTCTCGTAAGTTACCTAGTTGTAATGGATATTTCTTTGTTTTTCTGCTACTTTATAAGCTGCATGAAGGAGAGCATGTATTACTCCCACACATGCTCCATCCTGCCACTTCTACCGCTCTCTCTCTACAAAACACTGCTTCTGTTTCTCCTGGGTATTTATTACCCCCGAGCCAGGGATACGGATGTCCCCAAACCCTCAAAGAGCCAAGGTTGACCGTAAAGTCGTGATGAGTCATTGCCATCCTTTATTTTTATGTCATGATCTCTGTATGGGACACTAACCAGCATTACCTTCATCTGTATTGTCGGTTTGCTTTCAAATCCTTTCCCTACCCTTGTCCTCTTCTGCACTGTACTATACAGGAAGTAGAGCTTTCCGTGCTGTGGTTTCCAAACTTTCTTGCCAACTGTGTCTGGCTGGGATTGGCTGATGGAAAGCACTGGTGGGCGATTGCGGAGGGAAGAAAGGGCGAGCCAGGGCATTTGTCCCTCTCTCTGCTTCAGGAGACGTCTTGGGCCGTTCCGGCATCTTCTCCATGGCTCTAGCTCTTTCCAAAACTGCCTTTGTCTGTGGCCCCACCCGAGCCAGGCAGCTCCGCCATTGTTCCCGCTTCTCTGGGGCGGCTCCAGCTCCTGGCCCCAGCTTCTCACTCTGTCATCCTGGCCGAGAAGCAGCAGCAGCTTCTAGCATTTCCTAATCTCAGGGCTGGCTCACCTCCACCACCACCCCGCTGTTCTTAAACTGTGTGTCTAATACCTTGTACATTATCTTCCTATTGGATTACCTGGGATGGTCTTGATTTTCTGGCTGGATTCTGACTAATAGAACATTCCACAATGCTGTAGCACTTTGGTAAAAACAGATCTTTCAGTGTTTAAACATAGGCCTCCCTTTCCCCAGCACCATGTTATGAATCCATGAGGGACTGGGCCAAGGCCCATTCTAGAGAAACGCAGCGTCGCATACACAGAGATGTTTCTTCCTTCCAGCCCCTGAAGTGTGTGGGACTGTCTTGAGCTTGCCTACTGGTCTCAAAGGTGAGTTCTTTCCAGGAAGCTCCTTAGGCCCCTGTGCTTATAGATTTCTGATGGGCCTATCAAGTAGTCTCCCAGATGTGTAGTCTTGGCCGAAACCTAATAGAGATGGATGGCTTACACTAAAGGCTAGAACCTGCTACACACACACACACACACCCATATCACACATAGTCATCAGGCAGTGCTGTTTTTACTCATTTGTTCCACAAATATTGAGCATCTATTGCGTGCCAGGCACTGTGTCAGGAACGAGGACTGGAGCCGTAAACCAGACAAACAAATCGCATGCCTGCATGGAGCTGGCAGCGTAACGGGGTACACAGGCAATATACAGGCAAACAAACAGAGAAAAGAACTAATGGTAAGCGCTGTGAAGAAGCAAATAGGGTGCTATGTGAGAGAACAAGTGGATTGGGGGTCCCTCAGACTTAAAACGAGGCTTGGACTTGGCTGCTTCTATGTTCTGAGCCATTGTATTAATCGTGTCTTTTCATTCCTTACTTTTGATGCTTTGACGTGTTGAAGTCTTGCTGACCCTGGAGAGATTGTTCCTACCAGGGCTGGTTAATTCCTAGAGGTAGCAAACAAAGCACCTGGGAGCACACCTTTCAGATGCAAACCAACCAATCCAGAGCCCACCCTGCCAACCACCCTCTCTGTGGAGGTCCTACACTCTGGGCCACTATTCCCCCTGCCCCAATCACTCCAGGGCCAGGTACCAGACAACAAGGACAGTCCCTACACCCAGAGCTCCCTGAAATGATTCAAACTAGCCTATCCTACACCCGCTTACCCTGTCTCCCCATCCTTCTTATGAAAACCACAGTAAAGGCTTTGCCCACTTCCTGTTCCCTTCCTAACAAACCTGGCACTTTATGTGTGCTCTCCACCCCCCTCGTGGTGTGGCGTGCCCCCTTTTCTTGGGAACTGTGAGTATATAAACTACCTGTTTATTGGCAGTCATCTCCTGATTTGCTAGCCTGAATAACAGTAAAACATATTTTAAAACAACCATCTCGCCTTTTCTTGTGCCTTTGTTATGGTACTGATACTGTCTCTCTTTGAAGCATAATTTGTACTAATGTCTTCTTTCCCAGAAACTGTGTAAATATCTTGAGAGCGGTTTGTCTCGTTCAAGTTTGGATCCCAACACAGAGCCCTACACACTTGATAATATTATTAGGAATCGCTAATCTGTTCCAGGCAATACACTTTGTATATGGTGCCCATTTCGCTCTCACAAAACCGCTGCTGATAAGAGCTTTTAGCCCATTTTATAAATGAGTAGTCTGAAGCTGGAAGCAGGAATTAATTGCCAAGGTCATTTAGACAATAAATAATGCGGCCAGAATTTGAGACCTCGCTTTTCTGATTTGCATTTCTTTACCTTTAGACAATTAATACACACTTCCAGTAAGCATTTGTTAAATAAATTAATTCATGACGACAAATGAAAGGGAAAAGAAATGAATCTCAGTGTTTCTAAATTAATTTTGGATGTGCTTTTCGAACGAATTTTTTTGTGGAGGTTAAATTTATACTCAGGGGTGGGAGTTCAATTAGTCACTCAACAACTATTTATTGAACACATTTAGTGTACCTGGTTCTGTGGTAGATTCTGGGAATACAGAAGCAACAAATCAGGCATGACTCTTGCCTCATCTTAATTGTATTAAAGATAACTGTTAAAAGCAAGTTGGTAAGTCTTTTTTTTTTTCCTCTGTAAGAAGAATGACAATTATAAAGAAGTCACCTGAATGTAGATGTTAAAACACTGATTAGGGAAAAGAAAAGAATCAGCCTGGGATTTTTATCTAAATACTCTTCCTCCTAACTGAAAAGAGATAGTCACTGCAAATTACATTGAAAACGTCAAATTAGAGCCTGCTAGTTTCTCTCTTCCACCTGCTGCAAATTGGGTGGTCAAAAGTGGCCTAAACTTAAGGCTATATGAAAAGGGGAGAAGGGAAACGTATTAAAATTTGTCTTTAAAAAACCCAAGCATATAACATATAATCAAATGTCACAGCTCAGTATAGAAACCTCATAAAGCTGGGAGAGAAGCAAAAATAGCTATTCCTGGCTCCTTTCCATATATTGATAGATTCCTATTTAGTGCAAATCAGTCCATTGTCATTTGAAGCTAACATTCCCTTTCCTGGGCACTGCAGGGAAATCCCAACGGAATGTGAGCTCAGGAGGATTTAACACAGGAAATGATGGGTCGACCAAGACTCAATAGAAGAAAAATCTAGGGAGCATCCAAGGGGAAATAAGTGATCCATCCAGGCTTGATTTTTCAAGGAAGACTTCATGAAGTCAAGTGGTTCTTGAATTCAAAAGTTTGAGTGAGCAGAGAAGATGAGAAATAAAACTAGAATTTGGAGTGTTCTCTTTTAGAAAACAAGCTGAGACCATCAGGTGGGCTCAAAAAAAATATGTGTGGACAGTGTGCCTTTCATCCTTCTGTGCCTGGCACTGTTGTTCATTCAGTGTCTGACCATGGTAGATACCAAGCAAGTGTTTAGTTCACAATCAAACAGTTGATGAATTGTGTCAGATGAGTTCGATAGGAAAGAATGGCTGTTAAAGACTAAACTCTGTCTGAGACTGATCTGGCAGGACTTGGTCAGTAGTAAGAAATATGGGGTCTTGAGCAG